TTTTAAATTTACCTTGAAAGTAGAAATTGCAAAACGTTCGATAACGATGACTGTCGATAAATCGTTTATTACGAATCACGTCACATTCTAAAATTCCTCCACCCTTTAAGTTACATAGGGGTAATTATAGTACAATAGTAAAATCACACATGAGCTAGCTCCATAGACAAATACACTCCATTTGAGATCAGGGTGAGATATAAATACAGGTGATAGTCAAAATGGATAAGGAATCAGAAATATCCTAGTTTTAAAGTACTAATATAAAGTAAAGTAAAAGAAATATGTACATAATTCCATTTGATTGATTCAATGTTTTCTTAGTTCGATGGATAACAGTTGAGTTAGCTGATAATATAGACCGATTTGAATAATATGAAGTGTAAACGATTTTTTTCTTAATACCATGCAACTAACAGCATGCAAATCCATCCATTTCGAGTGAGTGAGTATTTTTTTATCAACGCCGCCCTATAAAGCAACACGCAGGCTATTGGCGAAAGACTACGTAGTTTTGAACATGGTCAAGTAACGAGGGCGACACCTGAGCTGGTCCCCTTCTCTTCAAGCCATCACGCCACGTTAACGGGAGGACTTATTGCCACGACAGATTTAACGTGTATTAGATCCTCCACATGATGAGTCTTCAATGACAATGAGACTCGAACTCATGACAGGCCAGCCGCGAGCTTGTCAGTATGACTATTAGGCCACCGCGATCACGCCACTCATTCCGAGAATGGCAATTCCTAGAAAATACTTTATATCCCCGTGAGAATATATATAAAATCTCTTCAAAATTACTAACTAAAAATCAATTCAAAATGAATTTGCCTTGTTGTAATTGCGCGTTATTTCTCACTCAAACTTCCAATTTAGAAATTCAACAATCCAGTCATTGGTTCTCATTTCGCAAATTTTTACTGCTAAAAATTCATGGTATATATTCCCATTTTACCTTTTGCATTTCAGTGAGTTGAAAATAAGAGTAAATTGTAATACATTGGACTTCAAATGCACATATTTTTTCCGTTATAATTTCTGTTGTGAATTCTCGGGGATATAAAAAGCTTAACAAAACTCATACATACTACGTAATTATTTTCTATCAATTCTTCCGATGGGGTTTGATCTTGAACTATTTACCATGAGCCTTCACATGAGCTAGAAGTGATATTGAACTTAGCTCAAATCCTTCGACTGGAATGGATTTTCCTCATCGATGACCGAAAGGGGGCACTGACCAACAAAGATGAACCCCCTCATCACAGATTTATCAAGGAAATTATACATCTTGTTTGTATTTTTATCCTTTTTTACGTATTTTACTTTATTTTTATTTCTGTAATTCCAATCTACTGTCCATTTATTTATAATTCTGATGAGAAGGTATGTCCCTTTTTGGGTTTGGAACTAAATCAATCAACCATTTACATTAGTTAACATATGTAGAAATTACAAAATCAAAAACTAACACTCCAAAACGTCGAACTTTGATTATTTGAATCTTTCTTTGTGTGGCTCGGCCTCCAGGAGCGAACAGGTGGGCATTATTACTTGCTATTAAATTACATGATTACGCACCCTACGAGCAACACAAAAACCTCGCAGTAAAAAGAATTCAATTTAAAATCAAAACTCCCTCAGACAAGCGTGACGGATCTAATAGTTGGCTACGCAGTGCTGTAATGGATGAATTAGCTTTATGTTTATTTTCAAACCGTCCATTTTTATCAGATGTTACGGCAGGAAAGGGATTAGACTAATCGAAGCGTACGACTGACGGCTACGGTAGGTCGGTAGCGGAGGAAAATTGATGTATGAATAAGCAATATCGTTTGACAGTAAACAACGCAATCAGGGTGTTATTTTTCACCTGTCAATTAACGGGCACCCCCGCATCGGAACAGGTGACCTTCGCTGAAATTGCATTGCGGGCTCATATTCAGACTAAAAATATCGCGTCACCGCTGGAATAGATGGTCATGGGGTGTTCAGGCACGCTTTGCGGAAAGGTGTGATACGGGCGGATGTTTCCATGAATGGAACTAGGGACAATTAATTAATTAATTAATCTAGGGGAAAAATTAATTCTTAAATATTTTGTGCTGTTATTATTTAGATGTCTTTTTGAGTTTAAACGAGAAGATATTTTACATTAAATATTACAATAAGTTCACTACAGTATAATTATTCATGACAAAGAGAACGAGAGATAGAAAGAAAAGATTGAACTTAAGAACTTCGTTAAAATACTATTTATTTCATAGAATCGTATAGATGTGGCACATTCTATCTTTAAAAAAAAGGAAGAAATCAAAGACTTAGTACAGAAATAATTTTAACATTCAAAACTTCTTCAATCATTTCCCATTCTTGTTTAAAAATACGAAACACATTAGATCGCTCTTAGAACATTAAAATAATGATTTAAAAGATCCACGGGAGTAATAATTATTTCCATTAGTAGCATTTTCTTCCATAAATCAAATAATAGAAAAAATTTACATTTCAATTATTTTTAAGAAAAGTATTTAACTGATTCTACAATCACAATAACTTAATACGTTCTATATTTTATGTTATTACAGAAGATCTTTTTATGCCCCTGATATTTGTCAACATGGTATGCTATCATTTACAAATTTCAATGAATGTTTCAAACATTTTAATTTTGAAAGAGATGTTTAAGACAAAAAAAATTAAAGAAAAAAAAAATGGATAAAACAAAATTTGCATGCCATAAAATGTTCTCATTCCCTATTTGGTGGACAAAAAACCCAAGTCAGTTTTTTTACGTGACTTGGACTTTTTTAAAAAAATTTCAAGATTTTTTTTTTTTATTTTAACTATTTGTAGAAGATTTAGATAAATTCTATTTTCGATAAACTGATTTTCAGTTCAAATGACTATCACAACAAATTTCGAAAATAATATTATTCCAGAAAAGTAGAGCTTCATGAATCCCAATAGGATGGAATTAGATAAAACCTATTCTTAATTAGGGGGGGGGACTCGCACTGTTCCGAGTTCAAAACATTAATATATATAAATGCCAATAAATTAAAATAAAAAGTGATAATAATCTACATAAAATATTATTCTGAACATTGAAAATGCTATAAATGAGTACGTAATTTAAAAATTTCATAAGAAATTTTAAAAAGTTCCATATTTATTAATTTTTAACACCCAGCATATGAAAAAAATAAGTCTACTTATAGAAATTTATTTGCAAATATAAAACACTAGGGATATTCAAAAAGCTGCATAAACATTAACAAACGTAACAAGTGGGAAAAAATTACACTAATTATATTTAAAATCGGAGAAAGAAAAGCCCATTAATTATCTGGAAAATCTGACTGCACATTTTTAGCGCACTTTTCACAAAATTAATTCGATTTTTAAAATTTTTTTTTATAGGGATGAATTTCGTAAGTTAATTACTCTTATCCAAATTTCATCCAATTATTCTAATGTGAGGAAAAATCAGACGTTCAAAATTGAGGCTAATATTCCTTTAACCTTGACATACATGTCGTCATTCATTCACCACAAAATTCCCGCGCAAAAATAATGATTTCTAATTAGTTTATTCTACGCTAGGCTTAGTCTCTGTGAATGTCATTTTTTTTTTTTTTTTTTTAAATAATCTTTATTTTTGGAGTGGCTGATTGTTGCAGACGACTTCCCTAGCCATACTTGTATAAAAATGAGTTCGAAACACGGAAACAAAGGGAAAACTTTCGTTTTCCAGCAGACGATTCACGATGTTTGTCAAGTAGGTCATTGCGAGAGAGGAAAAAAACACGGCACAAAAAAAAGCGCTTAAAAAATGCGACTTAATTTTTCTTTTATTTTCGAAAGTGAAAAGACGGAAAACAACGAAACCAGTAAATAAAAACTGTATGGAACTGAAAATAAAAGTGAACAAAGAAAAACTTTTCATTCTTTTCCAGCTTATAACCTTCCGCTTATTATTCCTATTTTAACTGCAACTGTATTCCGTGGCCACAGAATTGCTTCGTGTTTTTTTAAACACATGCTAACCTACTTGTCGACTCTCTTCCCGACCTTGGCTTCATTGGACACATGACTGACCACAACAGATGGACATCAGAGAAATCACTTTTTTCATCCTCTTTCAGTTAATTTCCTTTCTTCAAAAGTACGTTTCATTTCGAAAAAAAACGACTAATAACTAAAATTTAATGTAAATTCGAAATATTTATATTCCAAACTTAAGGTTATGTAGTTATTTTTCCATTTTTTGTCTTTTTGAAACACACAAACTAAGTTTTTAATATAAGTACAATTTATAACACAGAACTTGAACGTGAATTCGACATTTAAAAATAAATTTCAAAGTTGAATTCCCCCTTGAGGTAATTTTATACTCAGATTTACAAAAAATTTTGAGAAAAGAAGTCAGTTATTTAAATGTAAAAATCATTATGACGATAAGAGGAATGATCAAATAGATAAAGCGAAAGATCAAATCGCGCATCAATGTTATTGTGGAAATACCATACCAATATAATTAATAAATCTTTCAGAAACTTGTTTTTAATTTGAAAAAAATTATTTAAAGGTTAGTACTTTCACATGAATGCGAAGATTTTTATACATATGTATACTAAAGATTACTTGGTTGGCGTAAGACTTAGTTCAGAGCTCATACAAACACAAAATTTCTTTAACTGATTTCATCCAGTAAATTGATTATTAAATAACAAGCAAACTACATTTAAATGTTCAGATTTGTTTAACTATGTGTTTAGAATTCGACCAATATAAATTATTATCGACCAATAAAATATTTATTTATTTCACAATATTAAGTGGCAAAATAGAAAGCGATTTTCCTTGCAATTTTCCATTTTCCTTTCTATATATGGTGTTGGACTATTATTTTTGTTTGTTACTATTTATTCAAGAATTAAATTATTCCAATAAAATAGTATAGTAAAAAGAAATCCCATTCTCAGGAATTAGGCCATTCCAGGTGGGGTTCGAATCCACGACCTTTGAATTCGAAGTCCAACGCGCTATCCATTGCACTACAGAGACATAACGAGCGGTTTTCCTTTTATATATGGTGTCAGACAATTGTTTTGTTTGCTACTATTTATTTATTAATTAAATAGAATTAATGAATAAAAATTTGAAGAAATTGAAAAAGATCAATTACAAGTTTTAAAAAATGTATTTGAACTTGAGTGGGTGAATAAAAAGTATTTTATTAACAATATATATATATATATATATATATATATATATATATAAAGAGAGAGGGGGGAGTGTGAACCTATAGTAGGAATCGAAATATTACAGCCTATTCTAATCAGACCAACATTTAAAATATTTTAAAAACTTGAACAAAAAGTTTGAAGAAAAGAAATGACACGAGAGGGAATTGTTGATCTAAGATTGAACATTTACATTTGTCGATAACCTACATTGAAACTATTACAAATAATGAAAATTTTATGATGAGTCAGACATTACCTACATAAAGAGAATAACGCAGTCTTGTTAGTAAACAAATAAAAGGGAAAGGAAAAACGGGTCATTGTATATCTGCTCTGCCTCAGGTAAAATCGGTAGACCTCTAGTGACTACATTTCATCAGGTTTTTTATTCAATGATAGAAACAAAGATGAATTGATTGCGCTGATTAAGGTTTCAATGTTTTGAAAGTGTGTAATCAGTAAATAAGAGAAGTTCCAATATTGAATTACATGTAGGTCGCAAATCACAAAAAATAGTTCAATCGATGAAAGAAAAATAACTGAAATTAATGTGACATAACACAAGTGTCTATTACACTTGAATTTTGAATAAATATTGACATTATAAGTGTTACAAATATATAAAATATAACAAAATTTTTTTGAATATTTTTAGAAAACAAGTTATAAATTTTACAATGTAGCAAATTAAAGGCATCTGGTTTACAAACGGCAAGTTTAATTATCAAAAATCCAATAAAATTGAAAGGAAAATCCAAAAACAAATATTATAACGACTGCATTGTAATAATAATCACAAGAGCAAAACGGAAAATATTTGGGTCTCCCTGCAAAGTCAAGTTTTGGGTCCCCATGTTGAATTTTACAAAGGGTACTTGGCGGCCGTCAGGCTTTGGGCTCCCTAAACCCTG